GACGATGCGAAAGGTCTCCGTGCCACTGACCCAGGTGCGGATAGGGCTGTTTGATACAGCAGCGTGCTGCTCATCTGATATTGGGGTCGGAGAATAAGCTATCTGATGCAGGCGGTTGTTGTCGCAAAGCATAGCCAAAACAGCGACGGGTCCTTGAATGAAGTCGAGCATGTAGCCTTGAAAGCCAAATTGTTCCAAATCCTCTTTCATGACGGGAGGCTTGTACGAATCGAGGGACTTGGGTGATGTCCGAAGATGGACATCGTGCAGTCCTTGGCCCCCATTGGCTACCTTTCTAATGAGGAGGTTCGACAGTAACTGCTGGTCATCGCTATGAGTACAAGTAATTGCAATGACATCGCCTTTCCTCAGTTGGCCTTCTAGAGCTTGAGCATATCTGGTATCTGGAATGGAGCATTCCAGGATTGGCGGACCAATGACTTCACCCTTAAAATTCAGAGTGTGCTTGTTTTCCTGAATCCATTTCCAAGCTTTTGCAGTATCGGGAGAGAGCCTCTGTAGAAGGCTTGCCTGTTTGCCGCTTTGGGTGTTCAATTGCTCTCGCTGTGTGTTCAGCTTTGCGTTCTCGTCTGCAATTGCACGCGCGCGTTCGCGTAGACCCGACACCGAATTTTGCTTGTCCATTATGCTGTTGCTGATGGTGGAAATTTGACCTCGAACTTCTGCCTTGCGACTTTCAAAAGACGCAGCATCGTATTCCACAGCCGTATTCTGTCGTTTTTGTTCTAACCTGTTGATATCAGCCGTAATACGGACAATATCCTGCTCACGCGATTTTTTGGCTCTCAGCTCGACCTTGATCAACTCCGTGGAGTCGCTGGCCTTGGCCTTTTCCGTATCGATGTCTTTCACAAGCTTGTCGGCTTGTGTCTTAATCAAGTCGACACGGTTCTTGCGGAGCTTCACAACTTGCTCGATCTGATTACGATATGTTTCCACTTCTGACAAGGCTATACGCGCTGGTTCCATGTCTTCCTTGATCTGATCCAGCTCCATCATGGCTAACCTCCGGTCTTCCTTCATTTTCAATATGTCATTTTTGAACAGCTTGATCTCAATCATAGGCCTGACCTTCTTCAGACATTTCGATTTGCGCAACAAGCCCTCGCGTTGATGGAATCGTTCGACATCTTCTCTGGTTGCATTTTGCTGTTTTTCCAACTTTTCCAAATGACTGCGCTCGTTGGTTTCTTTTGTCTGGACATTTCGTTCTTCAATACGCAGGGCCTTGAGTTCGTCATGCCACTCAACCATGTGTGGGGGCGCCGCTGCACGCTGAGTCTCTCGTAGGCGGTCGACATCGGTCATTTTGGCAAACTCGACGACACGATCTTGAGGCAAGAATTGACAAAGGTTATCAATCTGTATAGAAAATTGTTTGGCCATGGTTGTTACAGCGCCTTGGGAAACACGCTTGCCATCGAGAAAAAATACAGACTTGTTGTCCTCTTTGCGAATGGTGCGTTGGACGATGCGATTCGGACCATTGCCTGGGCCTGTTGCAAGCTCGATTTCGACAATGGCTTCGCTAGCACCATGTTTGACAAAAGCACCCAAATCCTTGGCTCTTCCCAGATGTTCGCTGCCCCATCCAAGACCCAGGCATATTGCGCACACAAGTGTACTCTTTCCTGTCCCGTTTGGACCAATGACCATGTTCAAACTGGGCCCCAGATGAAATTCGGCAGCCGTGTATGTGACAAAGTTCTTCAGTTTTACCCTGACAAGAGAGCCTGGCTGGAAGTCATCTTGAATGTATGCGCTCGTTCCGTCTGCATCATCGTTTTGCGTGTACGTGCCGAGCGAAGGACTGTCAGACGCGTCCCGGTCATGGCGGGCGCGTTTGCTGCTCGATGTGGAGGAGTCGTCGTCGGACTGCTCATCGACTTGCTCGCTGACGGCCAGTGATGGACGTTTCCGCCCTCTTCGGACTAGACCGGGCATCGTCGCGGCGTATGCGTATTGGTGGGGGTTGATTGTCCAGTGCACTGTCTCTAGAGAGGGGAATGATGGATGAACGGGGATTGCCGCTTAGCGTAGCGTCTCGCGTCCATGCGTTGAACCGCGAGACGCTATCACGTGAGAGCGTGTTCGTCGAGTAATAGCTGTGCAACCAAACGGCGTAGCAACCCGGATGCAAACAATACGAACAGTACAAACAGTCACAGTACTCGTGCATTCATTGACTACTAATACACGATCCTTCGAATGCATGCCGCACAATTGCCTGCCAAGATAAATACGCATGGCTCGCACGAAACGCCGAATCTAAACTACTCCATGCTGTCATGGCCAAGTCATGAAAGCCTTCCTTATATGCATTCACCTCGTTGCTCGTCGCAGATTGACAAGTGCCAGGTGCTTCAAAAGATACTCATACCCCACTAAACGCACAAAAGCGCCGTCGCAACCAGTGCCACGGCGTGGTAAACGAGGACAATGCCTCTAGAAAATGGTATCAAAATTCTCGTCGACCATGGGAAGTGGTTTCCGGGGGGTTGATGGCTTGCCGTTTTCTTCGGCTTGCTTCTTGTGGCGGAAGGTGACTAGAACTATGTTAGCAAGACGATACAGCCTGTGTTTGTATCAATACTTACATCCGACGAAGAGACCCTTGCCCATTTGAACATTGCGGTCCTGCATTGCTTCTAAAGCAGCCTGCTTCTCGTGCACCTCCTTGTACTTGGCCATGTCGGCTTCGTTGCCAAAGTCGTCAAAATATCCGGCGTCGGTCTCGCTGTCCAACTCTGGTACGAATGGTGCCTTTTGCTCTCTCAACTTCGCCCAGTCTACTTCAGCAAAATACTGATGCGCGTGGATCTCGGATATGTTGCGGAATCGAGATGACTTGGACGCTACGAGACGAACGATGAGGTCCCAAGTGCGCTTGGACAGGAAGTATGAGGGGTCTTCGTACACGGGCTTTCGCAATACCTTCTTCCACTGCTTCAAGTTCTGCCACGTCTCATCAACCGTAGCGCCAGCAAAGGGCGGATATCCGGCCAATGCTTCAAAGAGCATGCACCCCAGGCTCCAGTAGTCAACAGTGAAATCATACTCCTCACCCTTGAGTACTTCAGGCGCCATATAGTCGGGACTGCCTACAATACTCTTTGCGTAGTTGACGTCTCTCTCGCGAAGTGAGCGATAGTTGTCTCTCCTCTGCGCCGCAGAACGCTCTTCTATAGGCCGACCAAATGGCGAGACGACATCGCTCACAGACTCAAGCTTGATACGCATCGATTCGATCTTGGAGGGGGCAAGAATACCTGCAGCAAGACCAAAGTCGGTCAGTTTGACGTGTCCAGTGCTATCAATCAAAAAGTTCTCAGGCTTCAAGTCTCGGTGAATGTAGCCCAGCTGGTGTAGCGAGTCGATACATGTGAACATCTCAGCAATGTAGAAGCGCGCATGTCGGTTGTGCAGAACGCCCGTGTTGTTAAGCAGGGTACGAAAGTCGCCTCCAGGAACATATTCCTTTGCTATCATTAGCTCATGATCATACTTCTTCAACGCCGTAACTCACCATGGCAAGATAAATGCTCTTGTCGTCCTGGAATGCATAGAGTAATCGTACCAACCACTCGCTCTTAGCAGTGGTCAAAATGTCGCGCTCCGTCAGAACATGGCGGACCTCATCCAGCTTGAACAACAGCTTCTTACTCATGACTTTGAGGGCACAGACTTCACGGGTGTCCTTCTTCTGAGCCAAGTACACCTGTCCATAACCACCTTGGCCAACTTGGGTGAGAATCTGGAAGTCGCCTTGCCTCAATCGAGTGCGTCGCTTGCGGAGGTTGGCACGTTCGCGACCGAGATACTGTGTAAGAGCACTGTTATACTCTTCTTCGGGCGTCTCAGGTGGAAGAGGGTTCTGCGCCTTGAACTGGGAGAGACGGTTTTGGCGGGTATGTACGTAGGTGAGCAGGTCGTAGTAGTAGTCGAGAAAGTCTGCACGGCTGGTTAGTGCTGTTGCGATTTGAGAGGATAACAGGCCTACATAGTTGAGTGACATTTGCGAGACGCTTTACTGCTGGCTTCCTCGCCTTCTCCAGATCTTCGGCAGAGAGGCGCTGTGGACCGTTCAAGTACCGTGTTGACTGCTCTGCCTCGCGCGTCCGGTAAGGTTCCTGCCGCGACTGTGCTGCGTGTGTCATGTGACCGTTGTCCTTTTGTATAGCAGAGCGTCCACCGGGGGGTGCGTTCTCTTGGTTGGACCTGCGCGTTGGAGAGCCCGATGCGACAGTAGTCGAGTCTGGCCCCGCATAGTCCCCATCCTCGCCGCCGCTGCCCAATTTCAACTTGTTGGGCGATGTTGGCGATGTCGGCTTCGCTCTTGGAGAACCAATGGTGGGAAGTAGCCTCATGGCATTCTCGAAGACATGGGGCAGATCAAATGCGCCGGGCGGCTGGTGGTGTTTACTTGGGCTGCCCTGAGGTGTCTGCTGCGGGCTGATGAAGGCCTCGGCCGGCGTGCCTGGACGGTCCATACTCTTGCCACGGGTGTGAAGTAGCGGCGGAGGGGCGGGTAGCTGGAAACCGTCTGCGTCTCTGTTGTTGACGTTGTCGTTGTCTTGCATGCTCGTCTAGTACCCGATATCGACGGAGAAGGGGGTGGTTGCAGTTGCGCAGGTGGGGCGGTCGTCGCAACGACGGAGAACAAGAAGGAGCAGGCCAGCGTCGAATCTGCAGTGTATGCGCAAACAATCGCCTACGTATATGTATGTATACACCAGGCGTCGGTACCTTGCAGAGCCTGCGACAAAACAAATGCAGGCGGCTGGCGCTCAGCTTCGTGTTGATGGTGGGGTGCGTGTTTTGGGCTAAGTCTGCTCCGGGCAACGATGAAATCCAGGCTCCCTGGCATGTGGAACCGCCTTTTCCGATCGCCGTCATGGGTCAAGATTGCCATTTTAAGTAGTGTATCAAGTGTGCTGTCGCCGTCTTTATTTCTCATCGCATATTATGTACAGATCCCTTCAAGAACTATGCCTCGCATATCCAGAATTCAAACCTTGCAGTAAGTCGACCTGCCCGGAGAAACACCATACCCCGCCCGCAGAAACGCCGTACATGGGGCCCCAAACAGGCAATCCACGCCAAAGAATGATATCATAGTTCCACACATCTATCCGCCCTGGCAACGCGATAACATGGAAGCAACATATGCTAATGCTATCACACCACATGGCTCGCCCCTTATTGCCATCTAACTCCACATGTTGTGTCTTCCCAGCATCCTTTTACAAGTTGTGGAACTCACGCGGTATTCCGTTAGCAAGAAGTTGCTCACGAGCCAATAGGTCAACAAATGCTTGCCCATTGCGAGGAAAGGCGTGCATCATGCTTTGGAGATATCGTGGTGCCTCGATCAGCTGCTTCCGACACATTGGGCAAGTTACTTTGTTTTTGTGGGTTTTGCACGTATCAAGCTAGTTTGGACTCAGCAACCATCGTCACTTTTACACCTTTCAAGACTCACCCATTGAAAAATACAGAATTCTCCGAATGTGTGTCCACAGGACAAGACTACCGCAATCTCCTCGTCTTCTGTAGGCAGAACATGCGAGGCTGAGTAGTCCTTTTGGCAAATGTCACAACATTTGGATGCATCGTCGGGAAGCTCGCTTGGCAGGCGCCGCGGAAGACCATCTTTGAGTTCCTGGATCTGTCTTGGAGTGGCAATGTTGGGATCAATATGTGGGCGGTAGCCCGTGAATCGTGGACGCACGTCTCTTGTTCGGGTCCTCAAGCGATTCGGGGGTGGCGCTCTGGCAGCCGCCTCTTCTGCGTCAGATGACGTGCTCGAAGGTGAGAGGTCAACCGAATACCTCTCAAAACTCCGGCGATTTGATGTTCGCGGAGAGATGCTGCGGTCTGAACGGCGACCATGGCCTCCAGGCGATGCCCACGGGCGGTGCCCTGATCCAGGAGACAGTGGATCATTCGGCTGACGGTGTTCGTGGGGCTGTGATCTAGTGCTCTGCAGCCGCACTTCCGGATGCGCTGAATCCCGATGACCTTGGTGAGGGGTTCGCATGCCCCCCGCATGGGAATTCCGTGACATTGCCTCGACTGCCATCCTGTGCTCATTACGGCGTCGAATAAATGGCGGAATTCCTGCATTCAGAGCCGGTGCTAATGGGTTATTTTGATGTGGCATTCCTATTGTTTGGCCAGGTAAATGGCCTTGCATCGTGTTACTAGGGTTAGAAAACAACTGATCGGGATGCACATGGTCAACTCCATTCCAGAAAGAAGGTGGCGGTCGTGGATGACCCGTGAATTGATACGGGAACATATGCGGCTGGTAATATGGGTAGCGGATTCCAGCAGGTGGATACGGAGAGCGGTCATGGAGCGGATTGCCGGCTGGTCCATCTGGTACGTTGCGGCTTTGGGGTGTTTGATGGTCGCTCATGGGCAGATATACGCCTCCGTACAGAGGCGGGAGTTGTTGTTGGAATGGAGCATGTGCAGAGAGAAGTGGGGCAGCCAACTCTGCACCCTGATGTCCGGGACCAGTCGTCACATGAGCCCAGGAAGCGGCACCGTAGTCAGGTTCAGCCATACGAGCTTTGTTTGGAGGATAGAAGGGGTGTTGTCCTTGTGTAAAAGTTGAAGGTGAAGCGGCGTCAGCGGATGGAGAGCGGGGAGGTTGCCAAGTGAGCAGGACAAATGTTGGGAGGATTAGTAGAGAGGATGTTGGAACAGGTGTAGAAGAGGTGGAAATGGTTCCTCGCTCCCGGTTCTGGTAGTTGTTGCGTAGAAGAGTATAGGGCAGAAGGGTCGAACAGCGTCATGGAAGCCTTATCTGCGGCTTAGCAAGTGCGTGCGGCCTTTGGTGGTACCGATGGTGCACGAAAGTGAATGGGGGCAAAGGTGAAGCAGGGTCGAGGACCGGGTGGAAGGGTGCGAGAGGGCAACAGCTAGAGGAGCGACAGAGTCGGGCAGGATCGTTTGTCCAAGGTGGAAACCAGGCTGTGAATGAATGAAGGTGAGGGGTCATTAGCTCGCTGTCACGTTGGCACGCTCAATAGCGAGCAGCCAGCATGGATTGCAACAACGGTGGAGACGGATCAGGTGCCCTCGACTTGACTCGCCTGCATTAATCTAATCATGGCCAGTGGTCGGAGGCCGGAAGGCGCAGGGCGCAGGGCTCAGGCAGCCGGGGCGTCACGGTGCGACCTAGTTGCTTGTTGTACTCGTGCGTTTGCCTATGCGGCTCTAACATGGTCCGGAGAGGAGGGCAGCATGGATGGCTATTGCCCCCCAATAAGCCTCAAAAAACATTGGAGCGGAACGCAGCACGGCACGGCGTACGGAGGTTCAGCGGAAAAAGGACCATGGGCGCGAAGGGTTTCACGCAACAGGGTGTGCCCGATCATGCCGAAGTTTGATCGGTGACTATGCAGACTTTCCACTAGGGTGGCCGAAGGAAGCAAGCAGCAAGCAAGCAGAGGGCATGTGGGCAGCTAAATTGTCGTGTTATGTATGGCACAGCAGCCGGCAGCGGGCGCGAATCGTTACCTCGAGCGAGCAGCGGCGGCTGGCCAGGCCGGCTGTCTTTGCCTGTGCATTTTGGCGACGGCGACAGAGAGACAGCGAGTGAAATTGGTGGCTGAGCCGGAAGACGAGTCCAAGACGTCGAGTTGCATGCGCACGGCGGGCTCGGGCTAATGACGATGGTGAGAATGTTGGCGCCGAGTTTGGGGCCCAAGAAGTGGAACTGGAAAGGCAAGAGAAGCGACGGGGAGAGGGCTCTGCAGCGGTCGCGGTCGCGGTCGCGGTCACGGTCGAGGTATCAAAAATCCTTGCACCATCTCGTCTCGCCTCGCCGTGTCGCCGTGCCGCCCTCGCCATCGCACATTTCCGCCTGCATCTTGGCGGGTGATGCGTCACGTGACCCGCCCGACCGCGGGACAGATCGGAGGCGAGTCCCGCGCTCCCATCCGAAGCGGGCGGAGGCCAGAGCTTCTTCGAGCGCTGGCCGGTGTTTTTGTCTCGCTCTGCCTCTTGTTGTCTCGAGCAATTGTCTCTCCGTCGTCTTCTGGCTGGCCTCCAGCGTCCATTGCGCATCCTCACAGCATCCATCTCCATCCTCCCCCGCCAATTGGCCCCCCCATCCCCCACCACCACCAGCTGCGACCATGTTCCGAAGCGCGACCAAGCTCCGCGCTGCCGAGGCCGGCGCCCTGCGATCACTGGCACATGCGAAGGCCAGCAGCCCCTCCTTCAGCTGTGCCCGCATTACGCGCCCGCTCTCCACCACCAGAGCCTCGCTCTCCAAGCCTCAGACTGCCTTCCAGCGCCGCCAATTCACTGCCACCACCGCCGCCATGGCCAACACCCGAACAGAGAGCGATGCCTTTGGCGAGATCCAGGTCCCCGCCGACAAGTACTGGGGCGCCCAGACGGAGCGCTCCCTCGAGAACTTCCGCATCAACCAGCCCCAGGACCGCATGCCCCCGCCCATTGTGCGGGCCTTTGGTATTCTCAAGGGCGCTGCTGCCACGGTCAACATGAAGTTTGGGCTGGGTACGTCCCGTTGAACGAGCCCGAGCCTGCACTGCACTGCTAACCCTACCACAGATCCCAAGCTTGGAAAGGCCATCCAACAAGCTGCCGAAGAGGTGGCCTCGCTCAAGCTCATTGACCACTTCCCCCTCGTCGTCTGGCAGACCGGCTCGGGTACCCAGTCCAACATGAACGCCAACGAAGTCATCTCCAACCGCGCCATTGAGATCCTCGGCGGCACAATGGGCACCAAGAAGCCTGTCCACCCCAACGACCACGTCAACATGTCTGCCTCATCCAACGACACCTTCCCCACGGTCATGCACATTGCCGCTGTTCTTGACTTCGAGGAGTCGCTCCTCCCCGCCCTCACCAGCCTGCGAGACGCGCTCAAGAAGAAGTCCGACCAGTGGGAAACCCTCATCAAGATCGGAAGGACACATTTGCAAGATGCCACTCCTCTGACTCTGGGCCAGGAGTTCTCTGGTTACGTACAACAGCTCGATTTTGGCATTGAGCGCATAAAGTCATCTCTACCCCGCCTCAAGATGCTCGCCCAGGGAGGAACCGCTGTTGGCACCGGTATCAACACATTCAAGGGATTCGCCGAGGATATTGCCTCAGAGGTCAGCAAGATGACTGGCAAGGACTTTGTCACTGCACCCAACAAGTTCGAGGCTCTCGCTGCCCATGACGCCATTGTTGAGGCCCACGGCCAGCTAAACACCCTGGCTACCTCACTTTTCAAGATCGCCCAAGACATCCGTTTCCTCGGCTCCGGTCCCCGTTGCGGTCTGGGCGAGCTCAAGCTTCCCGAGAACGAGCCCGGATCCTCCATTATGCCCGGAAAGGTCAACCCCACACAGTGCGAGTCCCTAACCATGGTTTGCGCCCAGGTCTTTGGTAACCAGGTTGCCACAACCTTTGCCGGATCCCAGGGTAACTTTGAGCTCAACGTCTTCAAGCCCGTCATGATCCGCAACCTGCTGCACAGCTCGCGCCTCCTCGCTGACGGCATGAAGAGTTTCGAGAAGAACCTCGTTGCTGGTCTCGAGGCTGACGAGAAGCGCATCAGCTCCATCATGAACGAGAGGTAAGTCAAGCGCTATTTTTTATCTTCATTCACCATCGTACTAACTCAAATTCAGTCTGATGCTGGTTACCTGCCTCAACCCCGTCATTGGCTACGACGCCGCTAGCAAGACTGCCAAGTACGCCCACAAGAACAACCTCACCCTCAAGGAGGCCGCCCTCAAGCTCGAAGTCATCAGCGAAGCCGACTTTGACAAGTATGTCCGACCAGAGCTCATGATCAACCCTTCCGACTACAAGCCCAAGAACTAGAGTCGTCATGAAGATGAAGGTTCAACGAGGAAAAGAAATGTAAAAATAGAGAAAAATCCGAGATGCGTATCATGAATCAAGAATATTGTAACATCTACGTTTACTCTTATGTGTGTTTGTTGTTTTAGTTTTCACATAAAGATATTTGTGTGGTGATGTGAATTGCATGTCACGTGTCTGGAAATATGCTCGATAAGGAGTCAATGGTAGCTAGGGATAGAAATGAGAGCCTGGAAATGGGGTTGGTGCGGTTAAAGGTCTAATGATTGATGATTTGATAAAGATATAGTAGTGCTGCGAACAGGGGTTTTGTTTTCAACATTTACTTCACCTGCCTCGTTTTTTATCTTAGCAGTAGGTGTTTGATGTATTCCTTTTGTTCGAGATTTACATGAGTTTTCCTTAGTTGTCATACGTACTGTGAGGGTTTTATGCAGGAGATTTCCAAGTTGCGGAGCTGTTTTAATACCAAAGGTTCCATCTTATTGGTATCATGTGATGTCAAGTTATTTTCTCGTGGAGGACATTCAAGTTCATGGAAACAGTAATGATTTTTCAAGACGCACTATCCGGTTTTGTCGTTGAAATCTCAAATACATTACATGTTTTTATTAACAAAGTGCAATAGTGTATCAACGCCGTTCATCGCGCAAACGCGACCTCGAACTGAGCACCAGCAGTGACAAAAGAAGTGTCTCAAGGGTCACTGCAGTTACCATCGGGACTGAAGCATTTTGCCAGTCCTCTGGATGGTGTGCCAACCAATATATCCAGAAGCCGAAAGCTGACAACAACGGAACGAGAGCGTAAATGAGAATCATGACAAGAGACACAGCATGCCCGGGCTGGATACCCCACACAAGATTCTCCGCATCAGACTTGGATTTCACAGCAAACTCCTTCTTCTTTTTCGGTATGCAGGTTATTCTTTCCTTGTCGGGCTGCAGCTGAAAGCAGTCGTGTAGCCATGGTCCAAGGACTGACCATTTGCAGCCGTCGTCGCAAGAATCTAGACATGCGGCGAACACGTCAGGTTCTATGAGTGGTATCTTTCCCAGTGGCGGTTTCGGATCGTGTTCGTACTCGTTGGCAACCACTATGTCTTCTGGAAGCCCCTCGCAAGAGAAGAAGACTCGATCAACGCTGATTTTTCGGAACTTGATGGAGAAAAGTTAGTTATGTGGCCTTTTGTCATATAAGAAGAGAGTAAGAAGAGAGCTCCTTACTCTGACAAAATCGCAGTGGTGAAATTGAAAAGGTGAAAACCATTTTGAAACCATCAGACGATGTTTCTTATAGCGCTTTTTGGGTTCTGGGAAGAAGATTTGGTCATTCATCTGGCTGCAAATTTCGATTTGTTCGATTTCAAGAGATTTTCTTAGACCTTGGACTCCAAAAATGATTCGTGTGGGTGCTGGCTGTGTCGTTGGCGAGGGGGCCGTTGGGCCACATCTTTGTGTCTGCGTAGTGTTGTTGGATCCGGCATTGCCATTTTTGTTCGTTGAAACACCAGATGCGTTCGAACCTCCCGCTTTAGACGATATATTGGAAGATGAGGCTCTTGACGTATTGTTGGATGTTGGCGTGTAAGCCATAGCTGCCTTGGAAGAGGAGCTTCCGGATGAGGCGCTTCTTTGCTTATCATGTTCTAACAAACCCAATACTGGTCTGAAGATGCTTCTCAGCGCCATGCAGGATGCTCTTGGCGGTTTTTCCGTAGTACAGCAATGACACTTGGGTGGATGATCGGCGGCTATTTTTAAAATCTCCCTTACAGCCTCAGCATGCTCCTGAAGAACTCTCACATATAGCTTCCTCCTGCCGAGCTGTCGCAATCAAATTAGTACGTAATATTTCTAGTGAAATTTGGATGACATGCCTTCCACTGAAGATGTTGTTCCCCGGTGGCCAGGTTAGGAATTCGCGGTGCCAATGGCCACCAATCCCAAAGATACCCAGTATATGTTTCCAGATGAGATTTTGCGTCGTTGACCCGACCAATGTCACTGTGTGAGATCAGGGCCAATGAATTCTTTGGCGTTGTCTCAATTATCTGGCGCAGACGATGTGGTAGCATAAAGAGTCTGATATCTAATACTAGATTGCGAAACGCTGATCCTTGATGCAGAAATCTTTCGGCTTGATGGATGTTTGAAAAGTCATTACTAGCATCATATTCAGAATCTGAACAGAGATCGTTGTCGCTATCACTGTTCTGTGATTGACAATCATCGGCAATATGCTCTTGAAAGGCCTCAGATGCTTGTTCGTAATCCAGATCCTACGTTCTTTTCAACCAGTCTTCAAGATGCTCTCTTTCGGCCCGTTGCGACAGCAGATGGTTGAAAGAGACCACCTCTTCCTCTTCGATTCTGAACTCATCTGCAATCCCCACCGCTATGCTTTCTCTGTTTCTCCTCGATCGAAGAGTTCTAGTGACCACTTGTTCGGTATCGTTTGATGCCTCCTCTTGGAGCCCGCGATAGTATGACTTGAGAATTCTTCTATAGTTTTCTGTGAACCTTTCTCTTTCAATCTTCTGGAGTGCTGTCTCGTGTAATGAACGGAGTTCTTCTCGTTGTGCGAAGAATAACGCAAGATACTTGACGGCAAAGAGCTCTGTTGTTGATCTGCCTGTTGAAATTTTCGATCCAATACTTTCAAGATCAGAGTCTATGGATCGAATATCATCTAGGTATATTTCTCCCCTGGAAGAATTTGGCACTTGGATGGCAAGGTTGTCCTTGGGGGGTAACGCCTTCTGGAATTCCAGATCAGGTACCGATTGAGAATGCAAACTGTCCAGTTGCCTTTGGGAGGCATAACCAGAGTCACTCGGTTCGAGTTGACGTCTGCTAATGTTGCGAGTGAAGTACCGAATATAGGTTGCAATATGGTAGTTCCCTGCTTCTATGGCCGTCTGTATTAAATTCTGAAGGAATTGATCTTGAGTATTGCAACCGGCACCTACGTCAAGCAGTATTTTGACTACCTCCAGATGAACCTCAGTTGCAGCTGCATGGAGTGGAATGTCATGGTATCCGCTAGGAGCGATAATTTCGCTTTGTTCATTGAGAAGTAGTTTTGTAACTTGAGCCAGACCTAGGAGTGCTGCATAATGAAGGGGTCCCACCACACTCTTTACATCTCGCTCCAAGTTTGGCTTGTCTTGAGGATGGTGAGGGTCATATAGGCGAATCCAGTTGAAATGTGCAGTATTTTTTCTCGATAATAGCCTGACGGCCAACTGACTCACTTCGTTTCTGATATCTAGTGCCTTTCGAAGATGGCTGCTCCAGAACTCTGCTGCGTATCTTGCGAGAGCAGATGACCTGAGAACATCTTTTGAAAGTGGCTGTTGAAATTGCATCAGATATTCCAAACACCCTTTTGCAATTATTCCATGACACTCTTCCTTTCGCATATGATATGGAGCTCCCGGTCCCTGTATAGTCATTCCTGAAACAAGATACCTCCAAAGGGTATGATGTGATAGAAAAACAGTTCTCTGAGACGGGGGTTCACCTCCTTTTTCCTTCCTGGATCTGATCGTGAAAAGACTTGGGTAGGTCCCCAACAACTTTAGCAGGTCTTCTATTCGTCTTCTGGTGTTAGATGCTTTGTCAATCGCGATAGCTTCAGCTATCTCCTCGACAGACAGCGGTCGCTCCGAAAATGTGAGCCACTGGAATGTTCGTACTATGAGTCTCAAATCTTCTTTCCGTACAGAAGAAAGGATGAAGTCATATATCTGAAACGGTAATTGTAAGCCAAGGAAGGTTGGCTCCTCCAGCATCTGTTGTGCGTCATTAACTACACGTATATCAGGGGCTAATTTCTTCAATAGAAGGCTATTTAGATATCAGAAGTAGCTTGGCAACGGCTAAGTTGTTTGAATGAACTCACATCCCTTCGTCCCCAAGAGCCAATGCATGCTGCATCTTTTTCCTGAGATCAGCATTCTGATCCCGTCTTCCCGATTCGTTGTCGTATGACAGCCTATGCTGAATGCGTTGCTCCACTTCCATAAATGTAGGTTCTCCATGGAGGAGTTTGCGATCCCCTTGCAGAGACGGATACCCACGCAAAAATAGCCAGATGTCGATTTCTCGACGGCTACTCATAATTAGACGCAGATTAGGAGCATTCCGCCTAGCCACTGCTTGAACAAAGTTCAGTAGCAGTTCTGGAAGGTTCGCACACTCGTGGAGAGCATCGAGAACGATGTAAACTTGGCTAAAATCCTGCACAGCCTTTCTTATCGCTTCTATAAGCGCATGTATCGATGGTTGTTGTTCTCCGCTTTGGTGTGATAAGAATAAAGCCTCAATGCCCTTCGGTATTGTAGCCGAATGTTGCAGAAGCTGGTAGAGCAACGAACGGAGCATGTGCTCTAGACTCTGTTTTCGTTCATCATTAGGATCAAAGTAGAAGTATATCGTCACCCTGTCTATATATTCGTGATAATGCTGCTGTAGATGCTCGATGACAGTAGAGCTCATAATGGTTTTCCTGAATCCTGGTGATTCTTGCAGCCACAATGGTGATGGGAGTACACTCGACTTCCATTCCTCGAAACCCGAACTCGGAGAAGCTTTTGCGTGTCCTAGTCGTCCTTGCAACCACATTGGTGACCTATCTACACTTGATTTCCATTGCTTGAATTCTGAGCCCTCTAGCAACCAAACGCTCGTTTCAGGCGCTTGCTTCTTGCGTTCTTTGTGATAGTTTGTAGAAGGATCAGGCGGCGAAAGCCAGCGGCGGATTTTTTCAGACGTTTCTCCCATTATCTCCCGCATCAGTCGTTTCAATGCACGATCTCTCCCTTCACCATAAATTAGTGGCATGTGACAATCGAACAAGCCGAGTAAACAGTATGCACGATCCTCCTCAATCGTTGTGTAGCGATCTTGTGCCCCAAGCGAGACGTTCATTAACGCTGAAGTTTGACAAGTCTCTTTTCGACAAGGCCTTTAGCGGTATTCATGTGATTTCGTGTATGATTCTTTTAAGAGACTCCTTGTCTCCTAATCGAGTCCCAGCTATAGAGAAAAACCCTATAGAAGAGGGGGCTAGAAGCTCTACAATTGTCCCGCTTCGAGTGAACCACTTGCTCTTCCTAAAAGCTAATTTTCCGTCGCCTTCCAAGGAGTTAATTTTGAAGTCTGAGAGGAGCACGTAGCATATTTTGGAATTTTTGTATCACTTGTGCGCAGAATTGACTGCCTCTTCTACCTCCAGGTCGTTTGACCTGTCGATGCAGTAAGTGTCCAGCCAAAAGTAGTCCAGATCATCCCGTTTGGCTTGCTCTGCGCAAAAGCGCACTTTTTGCCAAATTGCCCCAAGTTTTCCACTGATGTCCTGTACGACTTTGAATTTCCCAAGATCATCGTAAAGTGCCTCTCTTCTTCCCCACGTGTGGGAAAGGATCGCATAGGGAGGGATCTCATGACCCGTATCGAAATGCTTCAGTACGAGGTTCCCATTGCTTTCAATTTGCAAGAGCCGCATGTTTGAAAAAAACGTTTGTGTGCGCGGACGATAGGAGGAACACGTAGAGCTTCGGAGTAGGCTGAGGATATTGACAAAGGAAGGCCAACTCGTTCGTACAGGGTGTGGATTATGTTGATGTTACGTAGATCTCTTACAAATACTTCGTACAAATCTCTAGTGAGCTATGATGAAAGTTTCACTGAGGTGGATGTGACAAAGAATGGTGTAGTTGTTGGAGCAGGCTGAATATAACAGCGGGGGCAGGAGGCGCAGCCCACGTACCCGGTGCGGGGTGCGAGGCTGAACACACAAGGCTGATAAAATCGAATCATGCGATCATCAGCTTTCGTCGAACCTTGAGTAATTTCTACTAAAAAAGCTATCAGAAAGTTTAGAAGGAAAGTTTAGAAACCATGATCGAGTGTGAGAGTTGACTAGTTTCTCCGTCGTACTTGCCCTATTCATCGAAGTCCAAAACACAACATGACGACAGCCTCAGAATAACACTACGTGCATACCTACACCTAAACAGCAAGTTTCGATATCTACGCTCACTCACCATCTGTCTCTTTACCACAGATAGCTAGCAAACATATATATTGTTTTCAAATAGGTTGTTGCTTGCTCAAATACTTGAATTAGGTAACTTGATCAAGTGAAAGCACCCCGGGAATCCTTGGTATTTGCTTTGACCACTATTTCCCATCGTTAGATTTCTTTAATGAGAGTGTACGAGTGCGGCGCAACGACCCTCCCCTGAGCGCCGGCGCGAAATTGAATATCACATAACTACCAAGTTCCAACGAACAATACTACTACGCCGCGCTGTCGCTATAATCTATTCCTCCATCTATTCCCCACAAAACGCCCGACCCTGTCTGAGTATTCAGTCTTTTAGGGACCACACATCAGACTCATGAGCAGCTGTGCTGCATCAAGATCCTATCTCACAGCTGCCCAGTGCCGAAGCCTTTCTATTCCTGTGGCATCCACCCCTCTCTCGAACAGAAGCTGAAAGAGCACCTCATCCTGCGTATCCATCAACTGGAATGTATAATGTCATCCAGCCACCCGCACCTATCGCCTTTGGATCTGCCCCTTTGTCCAATAGTAGCTCAATCAAGTCGTGGTCGCTTGCTGAAGTTGCAATGCGCAGCACTGTACCTCCATTGCAATTCTTTGCGTCTATTTCTGCCCCCGCATCTAACAGCAACCGCAATATTTCCTTGTTTCCTCCCACAGCTGCGTAATGCAGTGGCTTCTCTCCCCAAACGGTTGTTGCTGCTATATCCGCCCCTGCATCTAACAGCAGCTGTAATATTTCCTCTCTCCCTGCGAGAGCTGCGTAGTGCATTGGCATTTCTCCCCTAGTGGTCTTTGCTGCCATGTCCGCCCCTCCAGCTAATAGCAGCCTCACTACTACTTCATACCCTGTGTGAGATTGCTTGTACAGTGGCATGTATCCTCTGAAAGATTCCGCTTCTATCTCCGCTTCTGCATCGGACAGAAGTCTCATTGCTGCTACATTTCCTGCTAGAGCTGCATAGTGCAGTGGTGTCTCGTCCTCAGAAGTCGTTGCCGCTATGTCCGCCCCTGCATCTAATAGCAGCCTTACTACTCGTCCATCCCCTACGTAAGCAGCATCGTGCAATGGCGTTTTCCCATGACTACCTCTTAGGTTTACAGCCGCCCCTTTCTCAAGTAACAGGCGAAAGGTCTCTATATCTCCTACTCGAGCTGCTACATGTAATGGCGTATCGTCATCCCCGTTACGGATGTTGATTCTAGCGCCCTTATCAGTCAACATCTGCACTACTTCTCGGTTCCGTGCATGGATTGCCAGAAACAGAGGCGTATTTCTTTTCCAATCTTCTGCATTTATGCGCTCCAAGAGTCCTGAGTGCCCATCTTTCTGTCCTAGTTCCGCTTCTACTAGTGGCACAATCCCCAGATAACAAGTCATATGCAATAGTGGCATCCTTTCTGCCAGAAGGAGCATCTTGGTATCATTATATTCCATCCACCAATGATCCCGGATGGATGGATAGCCATAGAGAAATTTCTGGAGAGTATCGAGTAGTGCGACATCTTGTGCTGAACAACTCTTTGCATGATCAGGCCAGTGAAGCACTGCATAGCGCCACAGATGGGAATCTCGCAACCGAAAACCAGTAAGTAGATCAGAAGACCTCTTCTGTAAGTGTCTCTGAATAATACACTCGAGACAGGTCTTCGTTAGTTCCAAATTTGCGCTCTTCGACTCAATGCGAAACTCCTCTAGAATTTTGTTGTCATCTTTCTCTTTTCGCAACATATAGTCTCGTGCTGACTGGTGAACAAAACTGATCTCTTTTTGTTCTTGACACTGGAATGAATTTCTCCGTCGTATGTCGGGTTGCACATGATAGTCCTGGGGCTTAGGACGATCGTCATCCAAGTTTCTTGCTTTTTGTTCCTGTAGCAATGGTTTGCAGTAGAATATAGCATCGCGGGTCGCCTGCTCTTCAGTGATTTGAGTTGGGAATGAGGATTGGATGCCTACCGCAGCAGCCAGCTCCTGCAGCGATAGAGGGTGTATAGCCAGGGTTACCCAACGTAAAATCTTACGACTTATTTCTCTTTGTTCCTCTGGTATCCGAAGCAGCATATGACCGTAGATTGCAGGTAAGCCCCTCGGGAGGCCTCGAAGTGCCCTTAAGACCTCACTGCAGGTACGTTTTTGCGATAATTCGTGTATTGCGAAGCCTACCCAGAGAAAGGTACCCTCGGCGCGATCTAATAGCTCTTTCTGCACATCTTCATGCATTTTTTCGTTGAAGCCTTCAATCTCTGAAAGATCATTCATCCGTGCAGATATAAACAGTTCGATATCGCTGCTCACTCTTTCGTCGTTGTCGGGGTCTAGCCTCACCCTCAGGCAGCCTTTGAGACCATGCATATCCCGACTGATGATCGCGAGTTTGAATGCGTTTTGGTTCGAGTAGTTATGTCCATTCAGCAGGGTAACAAGTCGCGATAGTAGTACTTTCCGTGTGCTCTCCTCGCACTCGTCGAACCCGTCGAGTACGCAGAACATCGTTCCAAACTCAACATCTGTGATTACTTCGACAAAAATGATCCATAGTGCTTCCAGAGATGCTAAGGTTTGTTGTTTCCGTTCGGGCGGCTCAAAATGGCGCAGCGCATGCTTAGATAACTGCGGGCGCTTGGTAAGAATTTGATGCAGTAACCCACGTAGGACAGCCAAAGCTGTGCTATGTTTTTCGTTCTGCGCACTGCAGAAAAAGAATATGAGATCAGTGTTTTCTTGTTGTGCTGCATGCTTCCTCAGCTCCTCAGTAAGGAAGATAGAGAGCATAGTCTTGCCCTTGCCGGGCCCACCTGAGATCCACAACAGGCGTCTCTCGCTGGTGCTATCGCAACCACCCGGACCACCGCCGTTCAGCCAGACACGGTAGTTCACATCATTTCTAATCCACTCGCATGTGCCTGGGACTCTAGCACCTTTGGCAGTGATCAAACTCTCGCGGTCGACATAGGGATCAGTTACAAAGAGAGCGTCGCGACACTGAACAGCAGCTTTCTCCAACAATTCTGCAAGATCAACTTATTAGCATTGAGAAATTATGAGACAGTAACTTGCCTGTACCTTGGGAAGATTTGTGGTCAGCAAAATACACATTTTGCGCCGAACCTACGAAGGCTTGCGAGCCGTTCTGAGTGGAGACCCCACTAATGTGTTGATTGCGAATCCGGTCTTCAGCCATCCAGCTAAGCTATCCGCGGCATCAAGTAAACCTTTCAAGACGTTGCCAGACACAGTATTGTGCGTATTCGGTACTTTCTTTGTGAGATGCAAAGAACTAGGGTTCGGGTCCAACAACGAACAAGGCATTGCGGCGAAGATATGGGGTGATGGGTAGCAGGCTCAGCCTCATCGAGGAGCCTATAAGCTTTACTGTTTCACGCCCCCAACATGCAGGTTGTAAGCATTGCCAACTCAGCGTTAATGAGGAAGCCTCTAATACACAAGCGAGACCAACGATCCTCATAAAGGATCTGGGCTACAGGCATGCGGAAGGATGTGCCTTCCTCCTTCATATACATTTGTTGAGCCATCTTTAACGATTATCACTACATTAACACGGGATCTTTGCAGTACTGACCACAATGGATCCTTTCAGCCTCACAGCCGGCGCCATTGGTATCACTAACGTCGCCACGACTAGTATTGTGGAACTGCGCAGCCTTATCGAGAGTCTCTCTGAGGCTCAAGACGTAGTCGCAGACATCGCCTCTAGCCTAGACAACATAGAGCGTCCATTAGCTGCGCTCGAACAACTCAGCATCCCCAATGAAGCTACTTCGGTCGCCGTTAAGGAGGACCTCTGTAAAGCCGGTGTCGCCGAAGCTGTTAACAGCTGCGGTGATGCCTGCAAAAAGTTCCGGGAGGATTTGACAAAGTGGACGAAGCATTCGAGTGCGACAAGACTCTCTCTTCGAGACCGCTTTTCTGTCGGTGTTTGGAACAAGGAAAAGATCCGTACGTTTCGCACACAGCTACAGTGGTGCGAGAACACTGTGCATTTTGCTGTTACAAGCACGCAGCTGTAAAGAAGCCTCAGTCTCACTCCAGAAACCGCATACTAATTCCGCAACAGTATGGTTCAGCTACGATCCGAGAAAACGTCTGAAGCCGACCGTGAGAGTATGCAGAACCAATTGCAGGCTATTGAGACAAAAATCAAGGAGCACATCGACCTCACTAAATATCAGCAGGAAGAAACCCAGAGGAGGAAGCGCGAGCTAGAAGAGGAGCCTGAGGACGAGGAAGATGGGGGTGCTGGTCGAATATTAGCTATCCAGGAAGTCGAAAAGCAGTCACGGTTACTCGAGGCCGATCAAGTGTCTTGCGGAGTAGTCTTCTCGCAGGTACAATCCAAACGGAGTGGCCAGGATATCAAAAACATCATCACTTCAGCCAATTCCAGCGCACTTGTAGGAATGCCAGCAAGCGTAGTAGGAAAGGTCAACCAGCGCATCTCGGACGTCAGAACTGATGGAGGCTCAACAGCTTTTGTGGGTATATTCTAGCTGATGCTCATGACCGGACGCAAGAATGATATAACTACTCAACACTGATAGAATAACAAGGCAAAACGGCATTAGTAGCACATATCAATACGAGAGAATATAATATCAAATCAACCTTTAAAGCATGCCTATTCATACAAACCCGCAACTCTGACAACACTACTCTCCTCCAGTAAACTTCCACAAACTCTACCCACCAACAACCCAGAACTACCATCCCATCCCCAACACCCTTCATCTGCCTCCCCTCCGCCTCCTCCACTCTACCCGCCATCTCCCCCCAAATCACGATTCAGCCCCTCTCCACCGACTCCCAGCACCAGCACCAGCACCAGCACCACCGTCACACCCCCCACCCCTCCAGGCCGCGCGTTCCCCATCCACCGCAATAACCACAATCACCACTCATCACCACCATTTCCACACCCCCCCTGAATCCCCACCATCACACCCCTCAATAACCGACAAAATCCGGCCATATTCTCCTCCGCGGAGCCTCATGACTTTTACCACCCCGCATCCGCGCTACCATTTCTTTAGTCCCTAGTGGCTTGCATACAAAAAAAAGAAGGAAATACAGCTATCACACCGCTGAGCATAGTTTAGTTTGTGAATGTGTGGGGGGGGGGGGGGGGGGGGGGGGGGGG